TCGCAAACAAAGACGAAAGAGATAAGTTCGTTTAATATTTATGACAAAAGAGCAGAGCAGAGCACATACGCCACTGGCCGACTTCATCAGCCTACATCATGTACCAGCTATATATATATATGTATATAAGTATGTATATATATTCGGAATGCCCTTGGCACTTGACACCAGTGTGCTGGGCCGGAGAGGAGTTTGACTTGTAGTGCTCTAATCAGAGCCAGAGGGGTGTTTGCTCAGCTCGGCTCGTTTGGCCTATTGTCAGTGATTTACGAGCGCCCCAATCATACGGGACAACAGTGGGACAACATCGTAGCCAAACACTCACACTCACACTCACACACACGCACACACTCCACATTGTATCATAATTCGTCATTGCATATGATTTTATTTCGGCGTTATTTATTTGAATTATTTATTTATCCTATTATACGTACTGGGGCCCCCGTCTCACTGGACTCTGCCTCTGCCTCTGCCCCTGCCCCTGCCCCTGCCTTGCCCTTGCCCTTTCATATCTTTTGACAATAATACAACTAGCCAAGCACTGCCCATCCATATGCATAATATGTTTATCCATATGTCCATTTGCGTGTATTCCACATCCCGCATTCCACGTTTCACGTCCCCACAAACCAGGCTATGGCCAGCGCCAATCAATAATGTGTGCTGTATCAAGATTTATAGGTTTTGCATTTGCTAGCACACACACACACACACACACACACGTAGACACACCCACACTCATTCGCATGCCACACCCCCTTGGCTATGCGCACGCAAACTAAGGCTGACCAAGAGGGTAATTGACACGTGTTCTTCTTATCAAACTCTCATATTACTTAACAACACTGGTTTGCAGTGCTCTTTAAGGGTTACCATGATTCAAAAGTCAGCGAAATTGCAACTTGAAGCTTAAATGTATAATTTAGCTAAAAGCCTTCAATGTGAACCATAATGAACATACATATGTATATTGTACAATAATATGGTATTATTCTACGAATATTCTGCTTTTATAGTTTAATTTTATTACGCAAAAATTGAGTTGTATTTTAATAATATTAATGTACAAAAGATATTATTAATTTTTGATTATTAAAAATAATAATTTTATTTGTATTCCCTGAATCTATTTAAAATGGGAATTTATATGGTTTTTTTCAAAGTGTGGAAAATCTCATAAAGTATATAAATTCCTGATCGATCTAGCCTTATGCTTGCCTATCTGTTTTGTGAACAAAATACTGCTACAGGTGAACAGGAATGTCTCTTTTCCTTTTTACCAAAAAAAAAAAAATCGTAGACAAGCCAAAACATGTCCAAGTTAAACAATTGTCAAAAAAAAAACGTAAAGCTCATTATGGCCATATGGAGAGGCCTAATGTCACGATTAAGTCAAAAATGTATTACAGCAAACTCACGTAAATTCCCTATAGGCAATACTTTTTGAACAGACCTCGTAAAAAAAGATCAACTTTTTATGAATAAAAACATTTATCTACGGAAAAAATGAAAAACATTAACATTTGCATTCACTAATTACTTGTAGCATATAGCTATAGCTAAAGGCATCTATATGCATATTTATATAAGTATATGCATCTGTATGTGTGCGTCTGTCTGTGTGTGTGAGTAAACTGTTTGCATAGCACAAATAAATTTGCGGTGATTTGTAGAGTTGCGTTGGCCAAAGCGCATTAAGCTGGCTGCAACCCACATAAATACAACTCAACAGCATTTAACTACTCAGCGATTACACACACATGCAAACACACACACATACATACATAGGTATATAAACATCAACGCAAATACTTCATGTGCGCAAACAAAGGACATCTTTGTATATGTATCTGTGTGTCTGTGTTTGTGCTTAATGTATGTCCCCACCGAAATGCGCCCAAAGATAAAGGTAAGCACTTCACTAGAGATGAGAGCGTGACACGAAAAGGGGGGAAAAACATTGCATACTTAACAGATGAAAACAATTGAGGGCTGTACCGGATTGCTATAAAATTTAAATAAAAAAATAATAATAAAAAAAAATGTAAAAAAAAATAAAAAAAATAAAATAAACATAAATAAAAAAAATTTAATTTTAATTTTTTTTTTATTTATGATGCCAAATGTTGCGTGTGTTCGAGAAATAAAATTTAAAAAATAATTATTATTTTTATTAATATATAAAGCTATACAATAAAATAGTTTACAACAGCTATAAATATAAAAAAGAATTATATTTTTTTTTAAATAAAATAATATTAATAATAATAATAAAATTAATAATAATAATAATAATAATAATTAAATTAAATTATAATAATAATAAAATATATATGTCTTTGTATATTTATAATCAAAAATTATAGTATTTTTGAATTCATATTTATTTAAAAAATAAAATAAAATAAAATTTTTAAAAGTGTTTTTTTTTTCATTAAAAAAATGTATACCCATTATTCTTATATTTTAAAAGATTTCTGTTTATTATTTAATACAAGTAATAAAATTAAAAATATTTTCTTTCAATAGTTTGTTTTTAACCAGCTTAAAATTAATTGATTTTAAAATAGCTCCACAAAATATGTGTTTGTAAAAAAAATACCAAATACTTTAGATATTTGAAAGTATCTACGCCCATCTCTAGTCTCAACTGAAGCTACTAAACGGAGCGGGCGAACCCATAAAAAAAACGAACTTCATTTATTCGCAAAGAAATAAATCTTTTAATGCACATCGGAGAGTCGTTATTCGGGCATTGTTTTCTCATTTGCCACAACACCTACACACACGCACACACACAATCACATATACATATGTCGTGCGGCGCGGCCATCGAATGGACACTTTTGTCCCGTGCTGCCTCACTGAGCAAATGAACCTTGAATGGTTCCATGTATTTCAATGATTCTAATTATGGCGACGCCCCGCCCCGCACCACCCACCGCCCACCGCCCATTACCCCACTACCCCATTGTCCCACGCCCTGTTGCTGGAGCACAAAACTTTCTTAAGTATCGCGTGCATCATTGTTATTGTTTTTGTCCTTGGACGAGCAGACCAAATTGCTTTGTTGTATGCCTCGCCATCCTACCTATACACACACACACACATCAACATAGATATATGTGTGTAACTGTTTCAGTGCGTGGGCGGTACGCTCATTAGGTTTCCTGTGCCGCCATCGCTTCGCTGCGGCTCGGTTATGGCCCATGCAAAATGTCCCACAAGGGGCAGCCAGTTGTCGCGTTTCTCCTGTTCCAACTTGATGTTATGTGTTTATGTGTCCATTTCTCTGCAAGTGTGCGTGTGGGTGGGTATGTGTGTGTGTGTGACCTGCGAAAATGTCTGTGTCAAGTTGTGAGTAATAATGCGGAAATGCCAAAGAATAGAACAACCAAAATAAGCTCGTAAATAGCCAAGCAAGATGGAGATGATTTCATGCTAGCCGAATACAAGATACTCTAAGAATTCAATGAACAAATTATATATGTACATCAAAAAAAGATGTGACGAATTAGTAAAATGTAAAAATGTTAAAATTATAATAATAAAATATTTTTAAAAAACTCTTTAAAAATAACCGAATCATTTGTATATATACATATATATATATATATATATATATATATATATATATACATAAATAACCCAATCAGATGTATGTATATATATACATAAAATACACTATAGCATGAGCTTTTTGAAAAGTTCCACTGAAATTTAGCAAAAAGCTTTTGCATGAACTTTAATCTGAGCCTTACAATGAAATGCATATGTATCAAAAAAGTTCTCTAAGAACTACACAATAAACTATACAAGGACAACTTTAAAAAAACGTTACAAGGATCTTTAACATAAACCTTACCACAAGCCTTTTGATTAAAATTTACTACAGAACTTTACCATGAACTTCAATTTTAACTTCTCTTTAAAGTCTATTGCTTATATAACATGAACTTTAGCTCGAGCCGGTTACAATGAGCTTTATTAACTGACATGTTTTTTTTTGCAATTTTCATTAGTATGCCAAACTCTATTGTGCCCCGAATTCATAAAGGACACATAACACTTCATAATACTTCATGGTATTTTTGCCAGCTGGCACGTAATACAGCATATTTACCAGCTGACATGTGTCGCAAAGTGGATGACATATGCGATTAGATCGCTTAATTCGCAGCTGACAAATGTGGCGGGAATGAAAGGCACATTAATTAGCTGTACGTGTCCATGCATTACAGAAGCATTTGTTGTCCTTTTTGTGGCCATTGTTGTTGTTGTTGGTGTTGTTGTTGTTGGTGTTTATGCTGCGGGTTTGTCAAGCCGAACCAAATGACTAAAAGCTGTGACCCAAGCGCGACGAGGCGAACGCTTTCTGATGCCTCTCAGATGGATGTGTCCATGGACCACGTACATAAGCACATAATTACGAATCTTTCTTGTTCTGTTCATTTATTTTATTTCGTTTGTTTTTTTTTTTTTCCTTTGTGTTTTCTGTTTTGGTAGCGGGAAAGTTAAATTGCAGAAATCGCAAACTTTACTATCTGCAAGCAGAAAAATAATGGAATTGTGTAATTAACGAGACTCCAGGGTAAAGACTTGATGAAATGCCTTTGCCAAGAGTTATGCTCGTTGGCCAACTTGGGCCATTCTCTCTGTGTGTGCGTGTGTGTGTGTGTGTGTGTGCAGAAATTGTCGCCATTCAATCTTTAGTTTAACTTTAACCAAAATGCCAAACAGAATTTGCAACGGGAGAAGGAGCAGCAAGAGAGAGAGGGGAAAAGGAAGAGGAACGAGAAGAATAGGAAGGAGGGAAGAGCGAGACATTTTTGGTTCAGCATACAGCATACAGCATACATCGTACAGCATACAGCATACAGCATACAGCATACAGCATACAGCATACAGCATACAGCATACAGCATACAGCATACAGCATACTGCAAAAATATTTATATATGAATATTTTTATATAAATATATTTTTGATTTATTTTTCTGATAATGCAAGTGCTACCGTAGAAAACAAAATTTTTTATAAAAAAAAAACTATTATAATTTAGGTTAAAAATTGTCTTAAGAACTAAACTTTAATCTCTGCCAAAAAAAAAATGCATAGATATTAAAAAAATCATGATAAATTGAAGTACAATTAAATAAAATATAGAAAATTCTAAAATAGAAAAAAAAATATTTAGAGTAGATTAGAGGTATCTCTAAGCAAAAAGAATGCCTTGAACAATATTCGTGGGAAAGAGCATAGGCCAGTTAGAAGATTTGCTTATAGTTGGTCGAATTGTCGCTTCGTTGCAGCGTCTTCAATTTCTTCTTGTTGGGCTTAAAGGCCGCGGGCTGTGCCACGAGCGCTGCGGCTGCGACGGTGGCTGCATTGCGATCCTTACGGGTGACGGGCATGTCGTACGGCGTACGCACGATTTCCGGCAGATGGGCATAGTAGACGACTCGCTCGTTGCGGTTGCGGGGCGACGACAGCTGCTGCGGCAGCTTGGGCGAGACATATTTGTTGCTGTAGGAGTCGAGCACGGGCATGGCCATAGCCATGGGATCATCGATATAGCCACGCCGCGACTTGATGTAGTCTGCCGGCGGTGGGGTGTCCAGATGGCGATCGGGATACATGAGATAGGGTTCCGGATATTGGGGCACTCGTGGACTGTAGCTATCGTAGGGATCGAAGCGCTGCCGATGCACGTACATGTCCTCATAGTACGGCGGATAGGCGCGATGGTACTGCTCATCAAATCTGGGGGGGAAGGGAAAATGCCAAATTAAGGAAATGCCTTAGGGCCCACCTGTACTCACCTGTCGTAGCGTCTGATGTACGGGTCGTACGACCTGGATGGATACATGGCAATCGATTTGCCCGTATACTGTCCATACCAGGGCAATGGATTGGCCATCCTCTCGTCCGCGGGCTTCCGTACGTAACCCAAGCTCTGGTCTCGCCCAGGTGTGCGTATCGCTGCAGCGCCACTCAGATCATTCTCACCTGGCACCGTGTCCATTGTGCGCCGACCCGTTGTATAGTAATCGTAGTCCGCATACCTGGCCGAGGATTTGCCAGCCACTCTGAGCTGTTTGCCCGTTGCTCCATGCTCCACAGACTCAGCTGCCTCCACGTCCAAAATGCTGTCCGGACTCTCGAGTTCAGCATTCCGATTGCTATGCTCGTAGCCAGGCTCCGCACTCACGGCTAGCATCTGCAGTGAGCACAATATGAAGAGACCTTTCAGCTCCATCTCGATGCGATGCCAACTGCAGCTGCCAGTTGGCCAAAATAGACTGATGCCAAGCTGCGGCCCCTGGCGAAATAGACGAAGCCACGCAAATGGCTAACAATAATCCGGCGACATGGTAAGTTAAACTTCAATAGGCAATTGTATTATTTGATTTGGCTCGTTCGTTTTTTTGGTTCTATGGTCAGTCTATTGAATCAGTCAGTCCATGAAGCGCAAGAGTGCACAATTCAAGTCAAGCAGCAAACTACCCACTCGAATACCCACTAAAAAAGAGCAAACTATGCGCTGAGAGAGTTAGTGCCTGCTAGTGCTGGAAATATCAGGGCGAAATTGTTAGAAAAATATTTGCAATACAAACGACTCGGACCCACTGAATAATACTGAATAATACAGTTATGTTTATGTGAGAAGCGGCTCCACATAGAAGCTACAACTACAGGAGCTCAAAATTGTAGTACTTCAGCAGGAGCTCAGCCTTGATTCTACTGCCATACGTAACTCTAAAACTAAGACGTATAGACGCCCCTATGGACGGACTATATAATCCAGCCAAACAGAAGCTCTCCATTGATTCTACTGCCATGCTTAACAATCTTAACTCCAAAGTCTAGCAATGCCCAATTTTTCTTCCGCTGTACCAAGCAAAGGGGAGACTATATATATGATTCCACTATGGGTCAATATTGGATATTACATCCAATTACAAAAGTTTGTAAAGTTAGCGGTACGGCTATAGCCGTATACGTTTGCTATGACCTGATTCTATTTTATTTATATATCCAGACATCAAACATCGAACCATTAACCTTAACTCAAATTATTTACAGAGTAACTCAAATCAATACGCTCATTGAAGTAGCGATGCTCCACCTATATTTGATGTCACTTTGTATATATCTAACACACATACACACTCACACGCACACGCCCATCAACACAGCATAAAACTGCATTCTCTTTGAAGTTCAGAACAATAGCAGCTCGAACTTGTCCAAGCTACGCTCCGTTGGCTGCGACAAAATGCATTTTGTGATTTGCATTCGAAAACAATGAGAGTGAGAGAGAGAGAAAGAGAGAGAGGGAGAGAGAGGGAACAGGCAGGGGCTCGAGCTAACGGCATTTCTAAGTGATTAACAATATGGTCAGGGCTTTTAAGCTCAGCAATTCAACAAGAATTCAATTAATTGTGATTTTAATTATTATGAAATTTGTAATACAAATATATATTTCATAAAATTTCATAAATTAAATTATCAAGTCTTAAATTTAAAAATGATATAAATTAGTTTTGAATAACAAATTAATATATGTATATATATATAGTATGTATGTAAATCATTTGTAATGCTGGACAATTGTTTTGCTTTTTAACTTTTTTTTTTTTTTTTTTTTTTTTTAACTAGGTTTTTTTTTTTTGCTTGTTAAAAAACAATCATGTTTTGTAGCTGTGACAGCGTTGACCCAAAATGTATCGATTCCGGCAGATTTTTGATTTGCAACAGCCATCTTTGGCATTCTAGACACTTCCGCTGGCGATCCTCGCGTGTCACATCGACGCCCAGCCCGTTGGCAGCCCAAGAGTCCAGATTTTCTTGGATCATTGGCAAGAAGTTTGATAATATGATGCGCAGCGTATCGCAGGCTCTTGTGAAATGACTGCAAATGATGAAATGATCAATCAATATACATATATGATTCAAATTATGTATATATGCAATTTTCCTTACAATTTGTGTTGACTTTGCAACAGTTCATAGAGTTCTGGTAATACAAATGTACAAAAATCCAAATTCAATGAAGACCTAAATGAAAAGAAATTTAGAAAATATAGAGAAAATAGAGAAAAAAGCGAACATCAATATAGGGACTTACGGCTTCTCCAGTATTGCACCTAAAAGATCTATAAAAATGGAGCGTCCAGCTGACTTGGCCAACCTAAGTGCACTTAGAACATCATTAACACTAAACAAGTGGTAAATAAATCTATAAGTATCTCTGTTAAATATGGTAAATCTGATAATGCTCACCGTGTCGAATTGCGTAGCAAATCGAGACTGGCTTGACGATTGCTCAATTCCTGGAGCACAGCTTCGTGTGATCTCGAGAGCATATCAAAATCGTATTGTTCATCAATGAAATTACGATTCATATTCTTGCCCGAGGTTGGTATCAAATCCGGACGGTAATTCATTGGCGGCTATAATTCAAGATTTATCTTAGAATAACTGAAATTTGTTTGTTGTTCAATTCAATAATACATACATGGGTAGGCTTCTCCTGGACCTTTGTCTGATGTGCTGGGGTACGCATATCGAGGGTCGTACGGGATCTTATTGGTGGCTTCGTAATAATCTCCACACTTATATTCTTCTGCTGAGCATTCTCTTTGTAGTACTGACTCTGCGAGCCCATCATCGTTCGCTTGTTCTTGTTGACAACCGTTGTGGACGTTGACTTCTTGAGTACCATATTATCGTCGAGCTTGTGCAGCTCCATTGAACTAACTGAAGACGTCTGGCTCAGCTTGTTGTTGCCAAATATTGACGTCGAAGTCTGTTTGGTATTGCCCATCGCAGTGCTCCGTTTGTGCAATGTTGTCGTTGTCTTTTTAATTGATTTCGATGAGGCGTTTATTGTTGATGCAGGTACTGTCTTGTAGTTGCTGGCTGTGTAGTTCTGGTTGACTGGAAAGTCTTCGGCCATCTCACAGTTATCATAGTTATTGAGTATTGGCGGATTGCTGTCGTTAGGACTATACTCGACGTCATTTGCAATTGCAGCCTTATCCAATGGGTAGAGGTTGTAATCGTCTGGCACGTGCAATGAGCTCGGCTGATACACGTTCAGTACACGGCTGGAGCCCATCTCTATGCCATAGTTATAAGGCAGATTGTGTAATGATGACATTGACGATGATTCGATATGTTCCAGTGCAGCCTCATTGACAACCTCCAGACTCAAATTTGGTGACGATTGCTCGTCGTAAGTTTGACTTTTATTGTCCTCCTGCTCCTCCTCCACTTTGGCCGGCTTGGCTCCGCCCATCGATATTCTAAACTTTTGGGTACCGCGTGAGAAGCTCTTGCGATTGGTTGAGTTATGCTTGAAATTGGGCTCAGCATTTGCCGGCTGATAGAACGGTATCACACAATCAAGGCTAACTGTATTAATTGACACGGTATCAATTTCATGGCAGCCACAGATCTGAAAGGCAATCAAATACGAATTAATGATGCTATAATTAATTAATAGCTTTGTAGATAGCTTACAATCTTATTTTTGATCACTTTCATGTCATCCAATGAGACCCAGTTACCTTTGATGTGATCTAATTCACGGTCTGGTTCCCATCCAATCACAGTTATTCCGGCAGCGCTGCCCACAAACAGACACTCGCCATTCTCGCTAATGGGAGAATTGTTGTTATTAAATATTATAATAGATAGATGATTGCCCCCAATGGCTTACCTAAATGTAATGCATCTGATAGCCTGACCATAGAAATGAGTTGTTTGGGAGACAAGCAGTTGATGTTCCAAATCATAGATAGACACAGTGCCATCCACTCGGCCCGCTGCAAGCAGAAACTCAAATGGATGGAATTGTATGCAAGTGATAGCCGTAACGGGTGGCTCGGCTATAAACTCCATTATCTGTTTGCTCTTGCGTATATCCCATATTAGGATTGATCCTTCCAGGCCAGCGGAAGCGATCCAAAGTCCATCAGGTGAAAATTTCACAGAATTCACATGTGATATGTGTCCTTTGCAAACTTTAATGCATTTATTTTCGTTTTGAACATCCCATAATCTAAAAATGTAACAAAATAAACACAAAAGTTAATTAAATAGGAAAAACCGTTTAAACATAGCTCCTAACAATTGAGTCGACTAATGTAATTTGCAGAACAAACAAGTAAGAACGTTGCAGTCGGGCGATACCGATTGCAGAAGACTCATTCACAGCCCAAACGCTGTCAACCAGAGTATATAGTGCAATTTTCAAGTCTAGTGCGCAGCAAAAAACACGGCATTTTGCCATTAAAATTGGAAAATCATCGATAGCTATTGCATTCAAATTACATACATATATAATTTATACAATTTTGATTTTTATTATATATGTATTTATATCCATACATTGGATACCGGCTTCAAGCTAACAGCAGATCAGCGCGATTTTCCTATGCTTGTGCACACACTCATCGTATATTCTATGCGTACAGACAGAAGCGCGCCTTTTCTCACATTCTTAGAATTTCGATTGATTTCTGGACTTTCTAGCCGTTACTGTAGTTTTGTCTGATGACGCTCTCTTATTAAGCTATTCTATTTTAGCAACTGATTTCTCGATCAAAGCAGTGGCGCGGGTGCTAAGGGCGACACAAGTAATGTTAGAGTAGGGGAGGTTCGAACCTCTACTATGTTATTATTATTATTTTTTTTTTCATACATATTTCGTTTTTTATAAAATAGATATTTTATTGGGAAGGTGCGAGCTTGACTGAATGGCACTTAATACTTTTCATTTTCTTAGTCGAATAATTTTATAAGTTTAAATTTGTTCTTCTTAAATAGCCCTCAAATACATATACGCAAATACATACATATGTATATATAATTATATATGTTTGCCTGCGCGCATAGCATCAAGCATTCCAGCCTTATACACGCGCTCATTTGTATGTGTGTATGTATGTACACATAAATGCGTGCTCTAGCATATTCTAAGAATCCCGTTGCGATTGATTTGTCTGCATTGTTTTTGAATTTCCAGCCACCACTCTGGCTTTTCTTTGCTATGTGGCGTCATAACAATAATGTGATTTCATTTTAACTACTATTGATCGAAACGACGCGGTGGTGCTGTAGGCTGAAGCGCCGGCGATCTTTATTTTAGCTATTTTGACAAACATGCTGTTTGGGTTGGGTGCGAGTTCAAATCCCGCTGAAAACAATTTTTTGTAAATTGCAAATTTTTGTTATTTTAGCTTTTTTATATTTTATTAATTTTATAAAAATGTTTCCTTCCGTGCTATCAATGCCTATAAGCCTACTTATGTGTACATATACATAAATAGATGACTGACGCATATAAATGTCGCAATTCGGGCACTGTAAATGCCGATTGCCACGCCCCTAGTGGCCGTCGACTCCTCAATTTTAGCCAGTTCTTAGAACGAGCAACCGGTTACCTAAATGCAAAATTTGAATTCTTACGCTCAAAAAATGTGAAAATTACAGGGTATTTTTCGATATGCCACGCCCCTAAAGAGGCTTAAAAATTATTTTTGGGGCATCGATAGAGGAGGCCAC